GCAGTGAAGCCCTGTATATTAAAAAGAACCAGTGAATTTTGACTTCAGGCTGAAGTGGTTCTTATATAATCTTAGTTCACACTATACTTTTTTATATTCTACACATTAAATAGGGACTGTTGTTGCATAAAACTATTGCTATGACACTAATATGGTTCTTGTTGCATTACATCTAAAAAATTTGAAACTTGTATTTTGGGTGCTTAATAGCCCAAATTTCAGGCTATATAGTGGTTCTTAACCTACTGGATCTTTTATGCGGGGCTTTACTGTATATCAATAGACCTTATGCATAATGACGTCTCAAGGCTTGATGCCTGCGTGGAATGCTCGTCTTAGTGGTTATCACGGTCCAGGAAAATTTTGATAGTGGCTATTTTGATTTGTTTAATTTTCCCGGGCGATGACTATTAAGACCAGCATTTCTCGCGGGCATCAAGCTTTGTGATATCATTATGCATAAGGTCAAATGAGCTGTGTGAGCAGTATGATGTCCGAATTGGAACACACAATTGTATATGAATGAAAAATTATCTGACTTTTTTCCATAATGCTCACAATTTCGTTCTTATTGTATAGGTTTGCAGTTCTGACTGAGAGTCTTAATCATCTATACAATGAATGGTGTCATCTGAAGCTTACATATTAAACAATTACAATCTTAATAATTTATACAATAAATGTTGTCATATGAAGCTGACGTATTAAACAAAAATGTCAACAAAATAGATTTTGTCCTCCCATTAGCAGATTGTTTCGTTGTTCTACAGTAGGGGTAGCCTTGAAGGTGCCATTTAAACGATAATTGGGACAAAAACTGACTTACATGGTGTCATATGAAGCTGACATATTAAACAAAAATGTCAGCAAAATAGATTTTGTCTTCCCATTAGATTTTGTCTTCCCAAAATAGATTTTGTCTTCCCATTTGTCTTCCCAAAGGGCAATATTCGTATATTCGTGTTCTGCCTTATTAATTTCTTTTGAAATCAATTGTTTTTAAGGTCTGTGAACATGAATATATGAATATTGGCCCCCCCAGTACGATAATTGGGATAAAAACTGACTTACTGGTAGTATTTCAAATATATGAAATTGTTATTAAATTCTACATATCCAATGATTCATTCAAGTATTATTATCCTTTGTTATATATGATATTGTACAGTATTCAGTGGCAAGCTAGCCATGACAACTGGTTATGATATGCTAATAAACTTGCATCTATTTGAACAATGCAAATCATTAAAACAAACTTGCATAGCATGACCTGTAGACTTTCACAATGTCCTTCATCTTTGTTTAGAACAAAGGAATTTTCAAGGAAGTAATTTCTTGAAGAGTAAGGAATTTGTGGAAGTCATACAATTAGAATATTTAGCTGACCTTCGACTTTGTGCACCTTGTTTTCGTATTCAAATTGCACTTTTCCTACCTCCTGAACAGGTGTCTTAAAGGCGGATTTCCAGTCCTCGCACGAAGCTCCTCGCTGCGAGTGCATGCATGAGCACTTTCATCCAATCACAATGCTAAACAGTTAATTTTAATTAGATGCAAGCACTCGCAGCGAGCTGCGAGGAGCTTCGTGCGAGGACTGGAAAACCGCCTTTAGGGGTGCTTTACGCGCTTATGTGATGGAAGGCGGGCCCCCAATAAAGAAACCCTGAAATGTTTTTTGGGGGGAGCTTCTACCCAAGTCCCAAAACCTAAAATACCCCTGTAGACGCTGGCATGCATATAACCGTAACCTGCGATCAGGCTCTCAAAATTGGAAAGAGAGCCTGATACAAAAGCTGTTGAACCGTATGCGCCGACAAAGGTTTCATATACCAAATTTTGGTATGAAACGCTGATTGGTCAATATAAAATTAAACTCGAATAAACTTCCGGTTACTTCCCTACTTATTGGAAATGATCTGTTGTGGTTCCGACCAGCCAAAATTGTGAACTTGGAAGTTTCAGTTTACCCATTTTGTCTTATAAATAGAAACCAGGCCTGAATAGAAACACTTACGGAAGACAAAGCGATCGGAAAAGAAAAGACAAAGTAAACAAATACTGTAAGGAATTCGTGACGCAATATGCAGATATAAGTTGTCAACAATTACAGTGAATTACTTCGTCTTTGAAGTATTCCCAAATAGTGTTCAAATTCATCGCAACGAAGCTGTAAGTTGTTAGAATTAAAAAGCTTTCTAACTGAAGGATTGTTAAAAAATCTCTCTACATATATAAACTAAAAATTTAAGAAATCGTGGAGCATTGATCCAACCGGTTTATAACAATTTATATTATCATAACTCTTTTAATTACCATATAATCAGTCATGCATGTGTGGAATAAGCTCCCACAAATCATTAAATGTGCAACAACAGTCCGCCATTTTAAGGGAATGTTAAAAAGCTTGATGCTAGAGGACATTAAGAAAGGCTGCACTTGTAATAGATGTCTATCTTAAACTATACGTACTTTTGAACTATTCCTATATTGTAGCTATGTATTAATAATTCTAATATCCTAAGGTTTTTGTATATATATAGTTGTAATAGTTAATGTCGAGCGCTTTTAACATGAGCCTCTGGCTCGGAAGATTGGGCGACCACTTCCTGCGTTTTTCGACTTTAAATAAATCATTATCAAAAATTAACCATGCCGTTGAACTCAGACGTGACGTCTCGTGACCCGTGCCGATATATAATTGCGTTACATTTTTACTTGGAATAGAAGTTCAAACGTTCAGATATACATTTAACTACAGGAGGAAGATGTATTTTATTGCTGCCGTAGGCAGCACACTATTCTTGACAACTGATTTTGACGTTATGACTCGTGCCAGTTTCCTTGACCGAGTTATAACGATGCAGCTTGATTCAAAATATAGAAGAAATTTGGATTTCTGATGGCCGGTAATTGCTCGTAAGTCGCCGTAAAGCTCTCGTTCTGTACTTTCCGCCATGATGAAAAATATAAAAAACGATAATGAAATAAAAGACAATAATTTCGTTAGAAAATTATTTTTTGCAGGTACGTTTTAGCCAATTATTAGTATACGGTGTTGACAATGTTTAGTTATTAGTAATAAGTTTATATTGACCGTTTAAATATCATGACAGACTGATGCAGGCATGTTCAATGTTGGCAAATGTTATGATTTAAGAAGAAAACGTGAAAATGATTGAAGACTTGATATTAAGGCTCTGCTCACAGGCACAGGGTATATAACTATTAACTCAACCACGAAGGAAAACATCGAAATGACATATAGTGTTGTATAGTTTCGTATAGTCTTGTATAACGTTGTATAGTCTTGTTTAGTCTTGTATACTCTTGTATAATAGTCGTCTATAGTGTAGTATAGTCTTGCATAGTGTCATATAGTCTTTTATAACCCTATATATTGTTACATAGTCTTGTATAACGTTGTATAGTGTTGTACAGTGTTGTTTAGTGTCGTATAGCCTTTATATATTGTTATATAGTCTAGTATAACGTTATATAGTGTTGTATAGTGTCGTATAGCCTTGTATATTATTGTGTAGTATCGTATAGTGTTGTGTACTCTTGTATAGTGTCGTATAGTCTTGTATAACGCTGTATAGTGTCGTATAGTGTCGTATCGCCTTATATAGTGTTGTATAGTTTTGTATAACGTTGTATAGTGTCGTATAGTTTTATATATTATTGTACAGTGTCGTATAGTGTTGTATAGTTTTATATAATGTCGTATAGTCTTGTATAATTAACATTGTAAATTTGTATAGTATCGTATAGCCTTATATAGTGTCGTATAGTGTTGCATAATGTTATGTAGTGTTGTATAGTCTTCTTTAGTGTAGTATAGTGTCATGTATAATCTTGTATAGTGTCATAATTTTTATAGTCTTGTATAACGTTATACTGTATAGTGTTGTATAGTGTCGTATAACCTTATATATTGTTGCATAGTCTTGTATAACGTTGTATAGTGTTATACAGGGTGTATAAAAAAAAACGCAACCTCGGAATTTCCTAAGAAATCACTTTGCAATTCTTAAGCATAAAAGATTTTAGGCCCCTGGGAATTGAAATCGAATTGCT